CTGGATCAAGCACCGTAATCCACGCAGGATTAATAGCCATAAGTGCATCTCAACAACGAATGATTTCTTGCCCTATATTCCACTGTGTGAGCTTTAACAGTGAGAACGTGATGCACTGCACGTACGCCTACTATCATCCTATAGCAGTGCTCGGTCAGTCTCACTTGCTCCACTGTGTCGAAATTGAGCAGACGCTGGTGCTGGTGGGAGTGAAGAGGTAACCTGAAATTTGAGTTCCCTTTCGTTGGTAGCCTCTTGGTCTGAGTTGCAACTAGTTAAGAACGGGTTTAGGTTGAACAGGATAGATAGTTTTCATGAGTTTCGATATGCCTTTGATAACGACGATACTGTCGAAACGTCAGGCAAAATAAACACTTCCGCCACATAAACCTGTACAGCATAGTAAAAACATTGAGCTTATAAAAAACATTGCTTTTCAGCTCATCTACCACTGGTTGATCCCCTTGACAAGGCGGCCATTGGTTTCATCACATCAGGTTGCCCATCTCCATGTTTGAGTGAGCGTTCTACTCCTTTTTGACGTTTCGAGTTAGTTCCAGTTCAATTCACGAAATTTAGATCAAAATATTGCTATGGCCTACGTTGATAAACCGTACGCAAAGGCCGGAACCCAATTTGTCGTCGACTTTGGCCCTAAACAAGCGAAGGTCACCGTCACAAAAATGCCGTTTGTAAAGACCAAGTACTACACTAAGGCATCATAGGTTTTCTAGTGTTTACATTTCTAACTTCTATTGCTGACACTAACTCTTTGCTTCACCTATGTCAGGAATTTGCTCACTTTTCTTGTGATACTTTGATGATCCCAAGTGATATTTTGTTGATGTTTATACTTTGCCAAAATAATTGACTAACAGTGTGATTCAGAAAAAAATATTCCATTTTCTGAAGTGTGACGTGATGTTCACAAAGAGAATATTGGTTTTCCGTGTTCTACAGACCTGGCGAACCTCATAGGTTTGAACCAACGATGGTGGGGAGTAACAAACGAGGGTGAACTCCTTGAAGGGATTTGGGAACATTGGAAAATGTTCGGAAATCATATCTTGTGATTGTTTTCGCAGTTGAGAAATCATGCTGTCGATCATCTCGTCACTATGTAATGGTTGTACCTGAAAAAAATAACTATGGCGTCGCAATATAGCCCTAGCACAGAAATGGAGCACTTCGGCGACGGAGGGGGCATTTTGCACTTTTGCTGCTTCCCATCGAAATGAGTCGACCAATCTGGAGAGTCACTCCATGGTCTTGCAGGAGTCGACGGGTTTCATCATATGATGGCTCGATGAGCTTGCTCCAGCTTCACAAGAGTTCACAGGTTTCACCAGAGTGAGACTTGTAAACCGGAACTAGTGAAGCAGTGAAAGTGCAAAATGCATCGGCCAGTCGCCGAACTACGCCCAGGGGTGTATAGGATAGTGAAGAGATTTGGTGAGTTATAGTTGATACCGTCGCAGTCAGTCGGGCGGTTTCAGAAGGCGTGAACTGAGCCCCTCCCCCGCGTTACCAGAAGTGAGATTATGAGGTGTTTAGCGACGCTGAAGGAGGAAATGAGGCTAAGAAGCCGATGATGAGAAAACCTGTACATGTTGTGTCGTCTCGAGCGCTACAAATGGTATATGACGTCAATGACATGCTATGACCCTCCTGACATGCAGCGTAGTGGACCTCGTCTAGTTGGTGTTATCGCAATCGGTCGGGGCGGTGTCAGAAGGGGCGGAATGAGCCCGCCTCTAGCTGCCTTTTCATACCATCAGTGATCGGCTAGTGATAGATTCAGGAAGACAACAACCAGTTGTAGAAAAATTTCGCCGACCTTGCTTAACCAAATGTGGAACTTGAAATAATTGGGTAGCATCGACTCATGAGATATAGCTCATCTGGGATGTACCCACGCAAGGAAAGCAAAAG